TTTCTAATTTTATTTCTAACTAGACAATGGTTTCTCTCAAATATTTTAAGAATGTTATGAACTTTGAGATTTATTGTTAGATGGTTGATATTTGTTTGTATTTCTCCATTTGAAATTAATTTATCTTTAGAATTGAGTTGAAAATTATGCATCTTAAAGTATTAAGTAAAGTACATATGCCACAAAAACAAAAAAAATTAACATTTATCAAACAAAGTTAATTAAGGGAATCTTAAAAAAAAAACGCTTAAATTCTTTTATATATATATATATATATATATATATATATATTCGAGTATATAGTTCAATTCGATCGAAAGATATCTTATCTACCTCCATATATATCCAAATAAATCAGGGCATTTTTTATTTGCTTCTACCTCTCATGGTTTGAGTCAAAGATGGTAAAACAGTAGTATATGAGTATAAAAGACAGTGGAAAAAGGAAAGGATGGTTCAGAAATGCTTGACAGACATTTTAGAAACTTGTCCTGAATTGGCATTGAAACTATAAATTGTGATAGGAGTAGGAACGCAAGCTTGAAAGATTGATGGAAGAACATGAAGGTGTCATTTTACCTTCTTTTCTTGCTGCTCTGGCTTGTCCAATAATCGAAGCCTCCAAGAATTTTCTTATAGAGGAGCTGTGGACAGTTGACCTTAGGGATAACAATGTGTCCGATATAAAATAGATATCCGTTTTATCCGATCTAGTTAATATTCATTAAGAATGTGCAATGACTATTAAAGTGGATAAGGGTAAAAAATACATATCTATTAATATGATTTTAAAGTATGGATACCTACTCTTTATCTTATTAATATGCATCAATTTATTTAGATTTTTTATTAATATGCAAGAATTTAATTACATAAAATTTAAAAATTAAGTATCAAAATATTTTTTTTGAAAACTTTAAGGAGTAAAAAAAGTTATAAATAAATGACTAAAATGCAATAAATAAATAAATTTTAAGGATAAAAAACTTTTTTTAAAAATTATAGAAACTAAAATGAATATTTTAAAAAAATTAAATTTAACGAGATATTTAATGAGTATTAAATGAATGGGTAAACTAGTTACGTATGATTGAGTAAAAATTTATATGATGATTTTTTAATAAGTAACGAATAGGATATTTTTTTATAGATAAGATAAAAAATTGAATTAATAGATTGAGTATCTATCTATCGCCGTGTCCTAATTGACCCGGAAATGAGATGATGCTAAGGTTATCTTATTAATATAAGTTGTTGAGTTGTCACATCAAAATTGAACTGGGAATCTGAATGATTAAAAACATCAAAACCTCAACTTTTCTAGCAGTTTTCCTAAGGAAAAAAAAAAAAATTGTTTCTCCAATAATTTGGAGCATTAAATGATTGATCCCTACCAGTAGTAATCAATGATCTAAGCTTATTTTGTTTTGTTCTTTTATCTTCGTCTTAACGGGTTACCTAAATTGAGGTTCGTCCTTTATCTTTTTCAGACAAGAATCAGAAAACCAAACTAAAAAAGCAGAGTAGTTTAAAGACAAAAACACAGAAAACAGAGTACTTATAAAATAAAAACAGAGTAATTTAAAAATCAGAAAGATGTAATTATTAAGAATAAAGTAAGATTATTGTTTTTCTTAAATATTATCAAAGACATCAAGGAAAATGACTGACAATATAATTGTAAGATTATAACATTGCTCGGACTTCTAATTCAATTATTGAACTCTGTTGATTGTGAAGTTAGAATTGAAAAACAAAATGTCCTCGTCTTGAAACTACTGTGAAAGTAATTGCTTCACATGAACAACAAATAAAAAAAAAAAAAAATTGTCTTTATGTCATTAAGAAATTGCTGTATTTTTGTGTTCTGGGTTGTTAGCTGATCACTTTCGAGTATAAGATTTATATTACTTATTTTTAAGTCAACAAGTATGATTGCTCATAGCCTTCTTCAGTAAAGTAAGGTTTGGTAAAGTAAGGTTGAGTAAATTATAAATTAGTTCCTCCCTTTTCGATAAATAAATTAATTAGTTCTTTTATTTTAAAAAACCAATTATTTAGTCATTTTTGCTAATTTTTAATTTATTTTGATTTTTTATTTTAAGAAATAAAAAATAAGTAAAAATATGAAAAGATTAAAAAAAAGATATTTATAAAATAAAGTAATATTAAATTAGTGTTGGTCAGTACTAGTTAAAATAATTAAATAATTAATTTTAAAACCAAATAGACTAATTAATTTATTTCTTGAAATGAGAGGGACTAATTTATAATTTACTTAGTACGGTTTGAGTCTCCATTTTTTTTTGTTTTTTAAAAAAAGAGCAAACAAATGTATTTGGAATAAATTATAAATTAGTCTTTTTAGTTTTGAAAAATAAATCAATTAATCTTCTTGTTTTGAAAACTAATTATTTAGTCCTTTTTGTCCATTTTATATTTTTTTCTATTTTTTTTTGTCTTTTGTTTAAAAAGAAAAAGAAAAAAAACATAGATATTATGGAGAAATTAATGAGAAATTAAAGAAAACAGTTTTTAGAATAAAATGATATTAAATTAAACATATAAACACTGCTCAAAGAATTAAATAATTAATTTGTAAAACAAAGAGGATTAATTAATTTTCTTTTTAAAACTAGAGGGACTAATTTATAATTTACTCAATGTACTTGATACTATAAGTGAGTCACTTGCTGGCTTCTATACTCATAAGCAAATAGATATACAAATGAATTATCTAAAATTTTGGAACCTGCGATTTCTAGTTTGTCTTCTATTTTCATTTTCACGAGGAAGATCAGCTTGCACTGCTGATGATTTTCTTCTATGTTTCTCCCTTTCTTTGGAAGAATCTGAAGCCATTTCCAAGCTTGCTTACATTCCAAACAACTCCTCATATTCCTCTGTCTTGCAGTTCTCAATACATAATGGCAGGTTCAATTCTTCCACAGCTCCAAAGCCTCTTGCCATTGTTACACCAACAAATGCATCGCACGTTCAGGATGCTGTTCGTTGTTCCCAAAACCACAATTTACAGATTAGAATTCGGAGTGGTGGCCATGATTTTGAAGGTCTCTCTTATGTTTCTGTACTCCCTTTTGTTATCGTTGATCTAATCAATCTTCGAGCAATCACGGTTGATGTGATGAATAAAACTGCATGGGTTGAGTCTGGCGCAACGCTGGGCGAACTTTATTATAAAATTGCTGAGCAGAGTAGAACTCTTGCCTTCCCAGCTGGTTCTTGGCTAACTATAGGTGTTGGGGGACACTTCAGTGGTGGAGGATTTGGCACGATCTCACGTAAATATGGCCTTGCTGCTGATAATGTCATTGATGCTCAATTAATTGATGTTAAAGGCAGGATCCTTGATAGAGCATCAATGGGAGAGGACTTGTTTTGGGCAATTCGAGGTGGTGGAGGACAAAGCTTTGGAGTCGTTATCGAATGGAAAATACGTTTGGTAGAAGTTCCATCCACTGTGACCACCTTCTTTGTCTCAAGAACTTTGGAACAAAATGCTACAAAACTTATCCATCGGTGGCAATACGTTGCACCAAAACTTTCCGAAGATCTCATTATCGATGCGTTTGTAAGTAGAGTCAGTTCTAGTCAAGAAGGAAACAAAACAATACTAGCTTCATTCTTTTCCTTGTTTCTTGGTGAGGCTGACCAACTTTTTCAGCTGATGGGAGAGACCTTTCCTGAGCTTGGTTTGGTAAAAGATGATTTTACTGAAATGAGTTGGATTGAGTCTGTCCTCTATGCTGGTGGATTTCCAAGTAACGCATCCTTGGATGTGTTGCTTGATAGGACTCCAGCATCCGCAAGAAGTTTCAAAGGAAAATCTGATTACGTAAAGGAACCTATTCCTGAAATTACGTGGGAAGGGATATGGGAAAGGTTCTTTGAAGAAGACATTGAGGTGCCTAGATTGATCTTGAATTCTTATGGAGGAAAAATGGATGAGATTTCAGAGTCTAGCACTCCATTTCCACATAGAGCCGGCAATCTATTCATAGTTTTTTCTGTTGTGAATTGGAGTGAAGAAACCGTGGCGGCATCCCAAAGGCACTTAGATTGGATGAGAAAGCTTTACAGTTACATGACTCCTTATGTTTCAGAAAACCCCAGAGAAGCATATGCCAATTACAGAGATCTCGACCTTGGAGTAAATAACCTTTTTAGCACAAGTTACGAACAAGCAAGTATTTGGGGTCGGAAGTATTTCAAGAATAACTTCGACAGGTTGGTTCGCGTGAAGACTGAAGTTGATCCAACCAATTTCTTTAGAAATGAGCAGAGTATCCCACCCCTATTTTGGTGATCAAAGGGAGGTACTGAGGGATTAAGTCCAATAATATTCGAGATATGTAAAACAAATGGCAGAAGTTCCTTCTGTAATGACCTAAAGTGTGAGATTTTACACAACTTCAATAGCGTTTTAATTCCTTTCAGATGCTAAAAATTTGATTTTCTCCTTTGTTTTTGCGAAAAATTCCATTGCGACTAGTTAGTGGAACCAACTCAAGTACGCACTTGGACTTTATACATCGGTGGTGATCTATTAGTCTAGATGTGTTTCTCATGTAGTTCAGTGTTGTCTCTCACACTCAAGGCATTTTCCATTTCCCATGACAAAACTGTTTTTGGTGCAGCAATTTCAGCCACTAAGCAGAAACTGGTAAGAGAAGCGTTGTTGAGTGTGAGACATGGGTCTCACCTAACGTGGACTATGCCGAAAGGCAAAAATCGGTATAGGTAGTGGAAGACTAGAGCAACCATGTGTTTGTTACTGCAAAATTGCACGATATTTATATATATATCAGAAACTGAGTTAAATACCTTCAATAAGGTCCTGACATACATTACCTTGCTTCATACATAAATTAAAAGCTTCGATGCACTGAATTCTAATGGCGCCATCCGTATACTGTCTCTTAATTATGTGCTTGCTTTTCTTTTCCTTACTCTCACTTTCTCAGGCCATAGTTCAATCAATGCAACTTCCTGCATCTCATCCTGAAGAGTGCTCTGCCTTGCTGCAATTCCAGGACAGCTTCATCATTAACAGGTATGCTTCTCGAGTTCCTTCTGCTGATCCAAAGGTTGCTTCATGGAAGCTAGAAGAAAATGGTAGTGACTGCTGCTTATGGGATGGCATCAAGTCCGATGAGGATACTGGTTATGTGATTGGCCTTAACCTCTCTGCTAGCTGTCTCTATGGTTCGATCAACTCCAGCAGTAGTCTCTTCCGTCTTGTTCATCTTCAAGAGCTAGACCTCTCCTACAATGACTTCAATGGCTCTCATGTACCATCTGCACTTGGTAATCTCTCTGACCTAACAGATCTCCAACTGTCCAACTCCCTATTTTTTGGCTGAATTCCATCAGAAATTTCCAAGTTGTCCAAATTATCTTACCTTGGCCTGTCTTTCAGTGACAGCAAATATTCTGAAGAACTTTTGAAACTTCCTGACTTCAGAAGTCTAGTGCAAAACCTAACAAACCTCGAATATCTTCATCTTGGTTCTGTAGATATATCTTTCCCAATACCTGATACGTTGGCAAATTTTTCCTCATTGAAATCTCTCTATCTCCAAAATTGCGGACTGCAGGGGAAATATCCAATGGCCATCTTTCAGCTAACATACCCCCAGTTTCTTCAGCTGTCCTTCAATCCAAAGCTCGCCGGTCATTTACCTGAACATCTATGGGGTGGACAACTTGAGTGCTTGTGGCTTGCAAAAGCTTTTCTGGTCAGCTACCTGCCTCTATAGGCAACCTCCATTCCTTGGAAAGTTTTCGTATCCGTCACTGCCAGTTCTCAGTAGTGATCCCGTTATCAATAGGTAATCTTAGCAAACTTGTGGAGTTGAAACTTCATTTGAACTCCTTTTCCGGTCAAATACCATCCTCAATTTCCAGCCTTAACAATCTTGAAACCCTATACCTTTACGCTAACAACTTAAGTGGCACAGTTGAGCTAGACACATTTTTAATACTAGAGAGGTTAACGTCACTTCACTTATCCTCAAACAAGTTAGTATTTCTCAGCAAAACTAGCTCAAATGGAACTCTTCCAAAGCTTGTTAGTTTAGGTCTGTCTTCTCGCAGCCTAAAAGACTTCCCTCACTTCTTGCCAAAACTAAACAAATTGCAGTGGCTAGATCTATCCTATAACAATATTCATGGAAAAATTCCCAGTTGGCTATGGACAATGAGTACGGAAAAACTGGAATTGTTAGACCTTTCTTACAACTTTCTAACCAGCCTGGACCAACCAGCAGCTGTTCTTCCATGGTCTCGTTTGTCTGTTTTAGATTTCAGTTCCAACATGCTCCAAGGCGCACTTCCAATTCCGCCATTCTTCACCGTTCACTATCTCATCTCAAACAATTCACTGGGTGGAGAGATCCTACCATCAATTTGCAGACTCAGCTCTCTTGAAGTACTTGATTTGTCGAAAAACAAATTGTATGGTACGATTCCTCTGTGTTTGGGCAACTTTAGCAGCTCTATATCGATATTGAATTTAGAGAGTAACAATCTCTGTGGCACCATTCCACAAACATGGGCGAAAGGAAGCAGCCTAAGGATGATCAGTTTGGATCAAAATAAGTTACAGGGGCACATACCGACATCAATAGCCCGTTATAAAAGGCTTGAGATTCTGGATCTTGGTAACAATCAGCTGACTGGTACATTTCCATCTTGGACGCAAAATCTCCCGGAGCTGATGATTCTCATTTTGCGGCTCAACAGATTTCGTGGTGAAATAGGCACTCCTAATTCTAGCTTTTCGTTTCGCAAGCTACAGATACTCGATCTTTCTTCCAATAATTTCACTGGTAATTTGCCGGAGGAATACTTCCAACGCTGGCATTCGATGCAAGTTTTCGACAAGGACCCGTTAAAGTACATGAATGTGGACACAAGTATTGCAATAATAGGTCAATGGATTCAAACTGATTATAGCTACTCCATGCAAATGACAAACGAAGGCAATAAGATGGATTATGCAAGGATCTTAGAGATTTTCATAGTACTCGACCTCTTGTGCAACAAATTCGAAGGAGAGATACCAGAAGTCATTGGGAATTTGAAAGGGCTTCGTTTGCTCAATCTTTCCAACAACATTATCTCCGGCCTCATCCCATCATCCATAGGGAATCTAGCAAAGCTTGAAGCATTGGATTTGTCTCACAACAATCTTTCTGGGGAGATCCCTCAGCAATTTGTGCAGCTCACTTTCCTCGAGTTCTTTAATGTGTCTCGTAACCATCTTACAGGGCCAATACCACGAGGAAACCAATTCGATACATTTCAGAACAATTCATTTTATGGAAATTCAGGATTGTGGGGGGTGTCATTGTCGAAGAAATGCGAAAATCTTGATCAGGCCTCACCAGCTCCATCTCCTGCTGCTCCATCTCATGAACCATTGGAGCTTGACTGGAAATTTGTTGTCGTAGGTTATGGATTTGGATTTGTCATTGGCGTGGTTATGGGACACATTGTAACCAAAGGAAAACATGATTGGTTCATGAAGACTTTTAGGATCAGACAACAAAGAAGACAAAGGCGCACAAGGAAGGGACATGGAAACTGAGTTCGTAAAGACTCGTCCTTTATTTCTTTCCACCTCTCCTGCTAGCGCCCCTTTGCCCTGCTTTGTTGCCTTATCCTAAAAATCTTCATGAATCAATCATGTTTTCTTTTGGTTGCAATTATTATACATATAATAAAAGAGAATATGGTTTTACTGTAGTTAAACCTCTAGCTAAACCTCTGTTACAGTAAAACTACAAATGACACTGTTTTTTTTTTAAAAAAAAAAAAACTGATTTTTTATCAATTTATCAATATTTTATATTTTGATCCTTTAAGTTATTACTTTATATAAAATAATCCTTAATTTTTATGAATATTATCAAAAGGTCCCTATCATTTTTTTTTCGGACTGGGTTTTTTTCATTAATTATTATTTAATCAAAATAATTTTTTTCCTCATCATCAATGCTTACTTTTTCTATTTTTATAAATATTCATGAACTAAAATTAAATATTCTTCTAATATAAATTGATTAAACACCTCTTTCTAATTAGATTTTTAAAAAATAATTAATTAATTGCATATATTTTTTATCTATCAAAATAAAAAATATTCCTAAGAAATATTTCAATTCAATATATATATATATATATATATATATATATATATATATATAATTATTTAAAATATTAAAAAATGGATATGATAAACTTACCCGCAACAACGCGCAGGTATTGAGCTAGTATATCCTATAACCACTCCATAACCAACTAGAACAAATTTCCTGTCAAGCTGTAAGAAACATGGAAATTGCCTTAAATTTAAGAGTAAAATATAAATTAGTCGTTGAATTAATTAGCTCTTTTTTGTCTTAAAAACTAATTATTTAGTTTTTTGACTAGTATTATAATATTATTTTATTTTAAAAAAATATTTTTTCTCATCAATCTTTTCATAATATTTATTTATTTCTTTCTTAAAAAAAGCATAAAATAGATTAAATGAACTAAATAATTAGTTGAAAGATAAAAAGGATTAATTAATTTGTTTCTCAAAAGTAGAGAGACTAATTTATAATTTTCACTTAATTTAATTATCAAAAAATAATGATGTCTTAAATTTTTCTTCTCAATTTTTTTTAATGGAGATATATTATTTTAAATGAGTGTGAGTGAGAATTATATCGATCAAAAAAACTAATTTTTTCAGATTAATCTACCTATTTTCGTGACTAATTGTCAATAACTATGCTGATTTTAGAAGTTAATATAAAATAAAAAAAAGAATCTCAAGGGATTAGTATGATAAAAAAATTTAATCCATTCTTTAACTTTTTGGGCTCAAACTTTAAGACCACCTTAGAGATTTTTTAAATTTATCCGAATGCACTAAACTGATGTAAGAGTGTGTACTTAAACTTTTTTAGAATTGAGATCCTCTCATGTTTTCCATTTCAAAATAGTTTTTGGTGCAATACTCCATTCGGATATGATTTAGTACATGAATGTGTCCTTAAACTTTTTTAGAATTGAGATCCTCTCATATATAAATTAAGAACACGATCGTCATGTTTCTAAAATCAAAATCATTAAATTTAAATTGAATTGATATGATTTAGTACATAATAAAAATGATAACAACTTAATTTATTATTTTTCTCGTCTAATGCAGATCATTGAACTCAAAATCCCTCAATAGTTACATTTGAAATACAACCGGCTGTGTTCCATAAGTAGCATAAAAGTATCCAAATCCCTTTCTTTATTCCAATGGATTGACTATTAAGTGGTGTCATAGCTAAATTTCAATTCTAACAAATACATGGCAACTGAGTTAGGAATGCCAGATTTTTCTAACATGGAGGAAGCAAATTAAACAATCCTTTCTGGAGAAAAGGGATAATTTATATATAACTAAGAGATAGCGACATCACTTTAGGGACTAGTTAGTGCAACCAACTCAATTACGCACTTGAACTTTATATGTCTTCTCGCACTATGGGCACTTTTCCATTTCAAAATAGTTTTTGGTGCTGCACTTTCAGCCACTAAGCAGAAAATGTAAGAAAAGTATTTTTGCGTGGGAAACATGACTGGACCTAAAGTGGGCTATGTCAGGCAAAAACCAGCATCGGTAAAGGAAACCAATTCGATACATTTCAGAACAATTCATTTTATGGAAATTGAGGATCGTGCAGGATTCCATTGTCAAAGAAATGTGAAAACCTTGAGGCCTCACCAGCACCATCTCCAGCTGCTCCATCTGATGAATCATTGGAACTCGTTTGGAAATTTGTTGTTGTAGGGTATGGATTTGGATTCGTCAATGGAGTGGTTATGGGACACGTTGTAACCAAAAGAAAACATGATTGGTTCATGAAGATTTTTCGTATAAGGCAACAAAGTAAGAAGTATTGGAATTAGTCTAGATTGACATAAAAATTGGTTCAAAAATACTCCATTATTTATAAAAATCAAAAAGAAAAAAATAGGTGTTGGCACCTCAAAATTTAAAAAGCCACACAGTGATCAAGTATGATGTCCTCTTACAACAAAACAATGAGACCTACATGAAGTGGTGTGTTTAGTCTTAACCAACTATGTTTCGACAAAACAACGAGATTTACATGAAACGATGTGTTTGGTCTTATAACCAATTAAGCTCGACGAAATGATAAGATTTAAATGAAAAGATACGTTTAGTTTTGTAATCAGCTATATACAACAAAGCAATCTGTCTAAAGGAAATTAAGGGACGGTTACCAATAATCGTTTCGTCCAACTTTAAATTTAAAGCAGCTTATCGATTGTGAGCTATTTAAAGAAGAAAAAATGATATAATTAGACATCATAATCAAAATACAAGACTTTTTTCAACACAAATTTATTCAAGTTTTCTAGTTTATCTTGTAACAATTAGCTTCTACATTCTTACAACTAGTTCGATAGCCTTTCCCGTTATTAATAGTTTCGTTTGTAATCTAGAAAGAGTTGATCCGTCCACGATTGTGGTCGAATGGGTTCGAGTGTTTCAATGACTAATGATATAAGTGCATATCTTTCAATTTATAATATTTAAATATTTTTCAATGAGTTTTGTCTCTTTCGATTGATGAAATTCTTTCTATTTTTGGAGTATTATTTCCTTCGATTTAAAACATTCCTTTTACTTTATCTTTTTTTTTAAAAAAAAATTGAGTATCCACGAAAAGTCCTAGTAGATTGCTAGGCGAAATCGAATCCTATATTATTTCATCACGAAGTTCTCAATTATAAATTAGAGCGTCAACCTACTTTGCTTCAAGATCGAATTCGACGAGCGAAACAATAGGCAAAGATTGACGAGCTTTATTGACTATACAAATCTAACCCCTCCAAAACACACACTAGAAGGAAATGGTAGTTAACCTAATGAAGTACAAAATAAAATAGAGGTATTATATTGCAATGCTCGTCAACCGAAACACCTCCCCTAAAGGGTCACGATCGAACGGATCGATATTAAAACTTATATCCTTTTAATTTTTTAAAATTAAGTTCCGAATTTAATCTTATTTATATTTAAATATATCAATTTAAAATATGTCATTAATAATATATAACTATAAGATTTTTCTTATTAACATAGCGAAGCATTATTCTAAAATTTCATCATTTATAAAAATATCTCACCGTAATTCACATTCCTAAATAATCTTGTCCTAATATTCATACTCAAATTCTAAGTAAAAATTTTCAACATTCATAAGATTAACATAATTGCATTTATTATTTTAAAAATAAATATTCATTTAAAGCATAACCTAATCATTAGGAACACACAAAGGCGCACGAGCACATAAGTCATTGGGAACAAGCATCAACATCCTCAATATTTGCATCATTACCTACACCACATAACGGATGTGAGATACAAATATCTCAATAAGTGTAACATACATGATTTTACATTAAAACTTTTTGTACATGAATGTCTTCAAAATTCTTTTCCTTATTTGGGCCTACTAAAAGATACCAACATCGGTTAGCAATGTCTAGCCTCAATAAAAACATGTATAAAAACATTAACCTCAACTTTTAACAATCAAACCTCAACGTTTATGCCTCGATGGGCAATCTCAACCTTTAAACCTCAATATACATTAAAAAAATGATCTCATTCGTTTACTTAAAATATTTTCTTTCAATCAATATGTAAAACATATGCATGCATATGAATGCACCTCAAGACCATCACATCATATCAATTACATAAAAATACATAGCATTTATGTGCATGGTATAAGTGAGTTACACTTACTTGATTCGCTCTAGGCCACTATTTATTGTAATCTTTATTTAAAAATTGATATATCGACTTGATTCAATACCTTGAACATACATACCATATAATATAAGAAATCGAATATTATTGTTTTATCTCTAATCATTTATTTATTTTTATTAATTCCTATTATTTTCTTGTAATTTCTTTTAAATTAAAAAAAAATCCTAATTACATCATCAACTCTACTCTAATTTATTCAATTCTCCTTTAATTATATTCATATAATCTAGTATCATTAAATTGTAACTTAGCATTTTCAATTCTTATTTAGATACACTTATATCATAAAAAATTCTCTAAAAATTTAAGATTTTAATATTAAAAATATAATTTTCACACAATCAATCCTAAATTATGAAATTTCCAACTCAATTCTATCTAAAATCATATAAAAACAAATAATTAAATTAAATATTTTTCTTACCTTGAATATTTAATCACCTTGAATTTTTTTAAATACCTTTGACTTCACTTCTTAATCAATTATATTCTCTCTCTCTCTCTCTCTCTCTCTCAAGTACAAACTTATGAAATGACTTTCCTAAAATGAGAAAAATGACACCCTATATATAAGCATGGGGAGCCAAAACATTTAAGAATTTTAAGTGCATGAACCAAACAGGGGAAGATAGATACGTGGATGCTGAATGTGCCTAGTAAGAGAACAATATTGATCTGAATGTGCCTAGTAAATCAAACTTTAGAATGTAACTTATTATCCAAATACATAG